TGTTCTATTATCGTATGACAACGTTCTTGCAAGTAGGTGTATATGCAAATCAATAAAGAAAAACTACGCAAGTTAATCAAAGCAAGTCCCGAAAAACATCGCAAGTGACGTCATCGATATCCTCACTAGTGAAGATATGGAAAATATGTTAATCAGGTCCCGGACGTAATTTGTACGAAAAATAAGAGTGGTGTATTTCCCAGTAAAACACTCATATCAATTATTAAATTATGGTCTGTGTAATAGTGTAATAACTATTTTGCGGGTTTAGTGAACAAAAAGCAGGACTTAAAGTGCATATGACACGAAAATATTTTAATGTTAAAAATGTGTAGTTTATTAGCATTAATGAGAATGCCACGATTGAATTTGTTTCAAATTTCTCTAGAAATTCAAAAGGATTTAGCACATAATGACGTCATATTGTTTACAAGTCTCCAGATTTTGTTGCAAATATGTAGAATCTTGATTTAAGGCAGTACACTTTTCAGTTTCCTAACATTTGAAAAGTACTACGTAAGCTATCAATCTTCATGACCTCAAAACAACGACTTCTTGTCGAAACTTTTCAAGTATATTTCAACTTCATTCTTGAAAACTGCATTTTTCTTTCAAGAAAAATATACTTTTGATAGATATTTTAAGTAGAATTTTGCTATTCATTCGCCAGGAAGAGGGATATATTGTATGTTTTGAGGTCATGAAGCCAGCAAAACAAGACTAAACACTTCGTTGGTCTTCACATCCTATTGCAAAAATACCATATTTTTTCTCTTCTAGGCTAGTTAATAGCAAAAATCTACTTTAGACATCTACTAAGAATATATTTCTTGCGAGAAAATGGGATTTTTATAGTTATTTAGTGCGCTAACTTATCTTTTGTCACCCAAAAAACTACCCGAATCGATCCGCCATCTTTTTTTACATTCTCGCATAGCTAAAATCCTGTAAAATGCCAGCCACAATGGACGATTTGATCACGTGACCTCTTAGTGCAAGTCGTCTATTCCTCTCCTACAAAACGAGGAAATGTTGCGCAATAGTACCCGGGAGTTTTCGGAACCTTACTCAAGAGACCTTTGCGGGCTTCTGCTAAAGGGTTCCGGTCTACGGTCCGATCAATTAGCACGTGGCAACTGTCAGTCAATGTCACTATGTTGCCAAGTGATTAAGAGAGGGCGGAGCTAGCTGACTGCTTTAATTATAGACGGCCGCCGAACTAGAAATATTAATTTACTGAAATGTAAACAATGTGAGGACTTCGAATAAATGAGAATTTCTAAGAATTTTCAAATTTCAATGGTAATAGATTATTTTGGTTGACCATCCATGCTTTGATTCAGTATCCAAAGCAGTACTTTGTGTAATCGAAGATCAGCTCTAAGAGATAACTAGTCGTGTTAAAGAACTACGAGCCTCACAATAGTTTCAGACTATAACTAAGAATTGTACACCCTATCCCAGAAAAAACCCGGTTAGTCAATAGATTGCAATCAATATTTACTAACGTTTTTATTGTTTTTGTGCCGGCAGAAAGCGTAGCCTATTCGCCCAACAAAACGACCAAATCGTTAACCCTATCCCAGACTAAAACGACCAAATCGTAACCCTATCCCAGACAAAAATGATACCCTATCCCAGAGAAAATTTCAAAAAAAGATACCCTACCACAGACCCCAATAGCCGAAAAACCATACCCTATAGGGCGGCACATACCCGTAAAGCAAATATAGGGGAGTACCCCCCTCCCCCCCGGGCCCGATTCTGATCACTTGATGCTATATTTTAAAAGTATTTTGGCTATGAAAGCCACTACAAATAAATACCAGGTACATATAAGTTTATATGAGTYTTGATTTTGTTTTATAAAATAATTGGGATACTACGCGCGCTATGATTGGTCGAAAACCATGTTTGATGAGAGTATCAAAACACGCTATCGTCATTTTTAATCTATCGCGCGCGCTCATTGGTCAGTTTGAATAAGACGGCATGTAGGGAGAATTTACTTAGACTTTGCTTTTTATCGATCTTTTCGCGCGTTTGTTATTTCATAAAACAAATCAAAAACAGTTTTGTGTGTTTGATACTCTGATCAAAACACTTGGGATGTTGAGAGAACACTCGAGAAGCTGCAAACCACTCCGCTACGCGTCGTGGTTTCCTACGCTCCTCTCGTATTCTCCCAACAACCCGCGTGTTTTGATCAGAGTATCAAACACGGAAAACTGTTTTTGATCTGTTAAATAAGACTATTAATAAAATTATGAAAATAGATTTTTAAAACGCGTGTATTTTTTTGACCTTCGTTTGAGAACGATCGTATTTCAACTTCTAGCTCACTCGTAAATAAAATTTTCTTTTAGAAAATGTTTATTAATTTCAAAACATAGACTAACCAAGGAAACTATGAAGAGTCAAGCTATTATGAGAGAAATACGGAGTAACTATCATCACAGGTAGCCCAAGCTTGGTTTCTGTGGTGTCCTATTATAAGGAAATGTATGGAGATTCATCAAAAATTTCAATAAAATCATTGAAACGTGAACTAAAGCCTCGAAATTTCACCCGATCATTGAGAAATAGCACTTCTTTGGCTCTGCGTGGTTATTTTTTGAATTTAGCCCGTTTTAAGATTTTTTCACCCACCAGTAAGAAATTTTTTAATAGGACACCACAGAAACCAAGCTTGGGCTACCTGTGCTATCATGTACACAGCAAAAAATTGGGGGGAGAAGAAATGCCACACGTGTATTCAGCTGATATTATTAAGCGAAAACGATTGGGTTTTCGATTTTTTGATGCCCATTATTGATGGTTTTCAACCATTCCAAAGAGAATTAAATAACAAAAGACACGACGGCCATGTTGGAGGATATAACAAAAGAATTCGTTGACAATTCTTTTGTTAAGTTCTTTCAACATGGCCGTCGTGAAAACCATCAATTATTCGTACACTATAATATAACACATAGCTAATGCTTACATTTTAGCAGTTCCAGCAATATTTCCGGCTACCGCGTTCATATTACATAGATTCATATTACATGAGCGCGCGAAGATACGAATTTTATCTTCGAGTGTTGATGGTATGTTGATGGTGTTGATGAGATTTTAAAAATAACTAAGTTCTAACGCGCGCTCTGATTGGTTGATTTTCATTGGTCGTTGGTCATTTTTCATGTGTATATACAAAATATACCAGACGAGATGGATTCACGAAAACAAAAGCTGGTTGAAGATTGTTAATATGGCTACTTTTCGAAAGAAATGTAAGCTTTAAAGTAAAGATAGTTCGATGGACCAAATCAAGAAGAAAAACTGGACAAAAGTACTAGGATAATTACTTTGAAGAGAAAGCTGCTGCTTATGTTTTAGATTGCTTGTAAAATGAATTTATACGACTTCAAAAACATTGGAGAAAAAATCGAGTTGAATGAACAAAGGCTTCTTTGAAATTTGTCAGTTGAACTTTTGTTATCAACATTCAACAGAATTCGATTTGCTTTAAAAATGTAAGTAAGATCTTTAAATAGACTTGGCCTGTTTAGTGGTTTTTTCTTTTGGGAGGGGAGGGGGGGGAATGCGAAACAATTTGTTGACTTATAAGCTTAAGTCAAAAAAACTAAAGATAAATTTGATGAAGTTGTATTTTTAAAATAACTGAGTTCTAACGCGCGCTCTGATTGGTCGAAAAGCCATTTTAGATGAGAGTATCTAAAATGCTCATGTCATCATATTTTTTTTAAAAAGTTTTTCACTCTTCTCTTTTTCCGATATAAATTTTTTCGTGGGTCGTTTACCTCTTGTGCCATCGAAAATATAAAGATTACTTTTGAAAAATAAACGTTAAGAGAACAATATTTATTGGACTTTTTCAAGCGAATTCTTTACGCGCTTCTTGAACGCTTGACAATCTACTTAACTTATCTCCCTTTTCTCCGTGTTTTCTCCAATTTTGTCAAACATTGTGAATATCTTTTTCATATTTCCTTATTAAAGGATAATGAGGTTTAAAAAGATTTGGGATGTTGAGAGAACACTCGAGAAGCTGCAAACCACTCCGCTACGCGGCGTGGTTTGCTACGCTTCTCTCGTGTTCTCTCAACATCTCGCGTGTTTAGATCAGAGTATCTAACATGGAAAACTATTTTAAAATTGTCAAATCCAAATTGAACACGAGAAGATAAAATTCGTATCTCCAAGCGGCCTTGTAATATTCTGTTTATTATATA